CACCATGGCTATCGCCCACGAAGGACTTGCCTCACTCGAGTAGATCTTCATGAAATAGGCGATCTCCTTGCCTTACAAACTTCTTGGTTCAACTCCACATCATGGCGGAGGCTCCCAAGCGACACCTAACCAATCTAGGAGACACCACTCTCCAAAAGGTAATAGACGGTGTGTTGATGATGAACTCCTTACTCTTGCGCTTCAAATGATAGTCTCCCCAACACTCAACTCTCTCTCTCTCTCTCTCTCTCCCTCTCCGACTCAGATTTGGCTATGGTGGAAGAAATATTTGAGTGGAAAGCAACTTGGGGAAGGCTAGAAATCAAGGTTCAAATGGCAGGAATGGAAACTCTTGATCTCAACACATGAGTAGGTGGTTCTATATTAGAATATGAATGGTGGAAGTGTAGGCACGTTCTAATGGCTCTCTCACAAATGGAGAAGGCGGTGGAGTGGTATATATAGCCTCCACACAAAATCCAACCATTACACACATTTGACTCATCTCGATGGGACCGAATGGTTCAACTTTATGGCACCGATCAGTTCTAAAATGTGAATGTTAGGAATCTCGGTGGGACCGACTGGAACAACTCGGTGGGATGTGCTAGGGCTTAGGGAAAACCTCGTCTTGGTGGCGCCGATTGCATCAACTCGGTGAGACCGAAGTGAAGCAATAAGGCAACAGAGAGTTGGTCAAGCCATCTCAGTGAGATCGATTGCTATTTTGGTGAGACCGAAAGAACTGCAACTGATAACAGAGAGTTGGCAAGGCCATCTCGATGAGACCGAGATCCATATTGGTGAGACCAAACTGTTAGGGTTTCTGGCTGTGGCTATGTCATATGAACTCGGTGGCTCCAGAGGGCTGAGTTGGAGTTTAGGGTTTTGACATATTTGTATGGAGAAAGCGGCTAAGGGTTTTTGGAGCAATATCACTAAGCACTTGACCAAGTAAGCCATTAAGCAACACCTCATCCCCTTTTAATAGTATTGGCTTTCCTATAGACTCAATGTGATCTTGGATCACTAAATTAAAGATGAAGAGTCTTGAGCTTTTGCCAATCTTTGTCCTTAGCATTTTGAGGGGTCCACATCTCTAATCCATGCCATGCCAATCATTGAACATCCTAAAATATTTATCTTGAATGGATATTATTTTGATGAGATATATGTTGTTATGAATTACCAAAACCACCCGGGGATTAGTTGCACTTTCAGAGGGTGCCGCCGTTGCCAAGATATGTCCAAGGGTTATCACCTGGAGCCTTCGCACGATGAGAGGGACCGCAGCGGCACCCCTAAGAGGGACACGCCACTCGCATGCATTGCCTCCGCCGATGTTGGAGGACGAAGCTTTTGCCTGGAGGCTCCCCCGCGCCACACTGACGTACCCAAAGTCACCATGATCGCCACACCTAATCTCACCTCCACACCATGATCCAGGAGACACCACGCCACCGCCAGGATCCTCCACCACCTCG